ACGTTCAGTCTGGCTTATAATTTGGAATTAATTAAATTTTGAACACAGGTTGAGGACGTTACCATCACATTGGTATTATTCTTTCACACACTGTAGATACTGTTTGGTGGCATTGAACTCTGTATTGATATCTTTGCACTTAAAGATGCGAAGATATCAATTTGTGCGTCATGTACATCATGTAAATTTGATGACACAGTTCAACACTCAGCAATGCACTGAACAGAAATGTATCGCCTTCCCTTCAAAACAATGATTTAAATATAGTCACCCATAATCAATCCCAGTAATGTTCACATTTTGAGTTAGTTCAATTTTGAGAGCAAACATCTGTGTTTTATGCCTTATCAATTTATTATATTAAATTCAAATAACTCAAAATGTTAAGGCAGCCTGGACACTTACTTACCATTTTTTGAAATGTTGCAACAAACTCAAAATATTAGAAATGATTAAAAGTTGCTTTTCACTTACTAAGACACTTTGCTGCCTAAGACTGAACTTTGGAGGGGTAGAAAAATATCCCTGCAGATTTCCTTGAAAAACTGAAAGCTGGTCTTCTGAAAAGAATGGAAGATCTAGGGTAAAGTAGAGTGGACACACTACATACTAAAGCCGTCTGTGTAATTTTCTGTGAATTATATGTTTTCTCTGGAAATTATTAGCTGTTCTGACTGGAAATTAACAAAAAGAATGGTGGTCTCTGACTTTTCGCTCTGAACTATATACTCCTTTATAGTATTTTGGTCGTGGCAGATATTAAAAATGACACACCTCCAACCCTTGTTTCATATAAATACACTAATACAGGAGCACCTACAGTGGCCCCAAACAGCAAAAAAGCCCCTCAAAAACTCAGATTTCAACCTCCGTGCTTTTCAGACCAAGTCAGTCTGGTTGGAGTTCTTTTGCAGGTTTCCTCCACAGCAGTTTGATGTTTTTCTGTGAAACTAATACTATTATGATACATATTAAACCCAAAGAGGTAACCTGAAGAACTTCATTAACATTTAGTAATGGTTAAAGTGTCCAAATACTTTTGGGCCACTGTATATTATCTATGGAGATTACATTGCTCCCCGCTGACCCAGCATTTCCGTGAAGCAGACATAGTCTCAGAACTGTCTGTTTAACACAGTTAAAGCTTTGGCTGGGGGCAGATTACAGCTTAATAAGCATGACATTCAGCATATCACGTCCTATGAATTCTTTGTTAAAAAGGAATTTCATTCTTTTTGGAAATTTCTTCATAATTTAAAGTATTTCAGAATAAGTTAATGTGAAGTAGGGAAATTTACTGAGTCAGAACTGTTCAGAATGGTGGTGATAGGAACCAGACGTCTCTAAAACTCTCTCAAAGAAAGTTATGACATAAAATGATTATGAATACACTGTCTGGATACACTGTTTGATGAATGAGACATTGTTATATGATCTTTTCAAGACAAGGTTTTGGCTTAATGCATATTTATTAAAGGCTATTCGCAGTGGAGAAGTACACGCAGGGTGTTGTAAGGAAAAATATTAGTAATTTTTTTCCAGGTAACACTATATTACCATCATCAACACATAAACACGTGTAGGTTCACTGTTGATTTTGGATAAAAAATAAAATGGCTATATTTGTGTGGTAGACGTTATGATCCCTGGTTCCTATCCCCACCGCCATAATGCTTCTGCGTTTCACATTCCCAATTCCCAATGAGTGTTCATATTGATTGGAAAAATCAATGAAATTTCCGTTTAAATCAGCTGGAAAAAAAAGTTTTTTACTTAAAACCAAGCATTTGTAGCCATCTTTATATCACAAAGATCACAGTGATCACAGTGATGCAGGGGATTTTTTTTCATGTCATAGAAGACTTTGAAAAACAAGCCACACTTTGTGATGACACTTACCCCAGAGCAGTTACAAAGAGAGTCTTGATGGATGAATTATATGTTTGTTACCAAACTAGAACTTGTTGTGCTGTCTGAACATGTTTTCAAGAGGTGATGATGTGTTAACTGAGTAGCTTACAAACATCTTCAGCTACATGTCATCATATTATACCATACACAGACTTAAATCATGGCTACACAAGAGAAAACATTGTTAATGGATAAATTTACTGAGTTGACCTTAAAACAGCAGCAAAAAGGGACAGTTTTAAGCTAAACTTGGGCCAAAATGGGCCAGTAGGAAATCTTCCCTAAAATCAGCGTAATTAGGTCATTGCCATCTTAAAATCTGTGATTTTTTTGTAATTCAACTGCAGAATGAGAGTCATTAAGCAGCATTATGAGACCAGCAGTGCAGGATTTTTGTGCAGATCTCAGTTCCACACGTGTTGGATCTGAACATGCCCACTTGCCCGGGGCGCTAACAGCAAGGATGTCTGAATTGCTCCTCTGTTAGACTGAGGAACAACAGGTTGGCTTTGTTAAGACAACCGAAAGATCATTGGTTATGTCTTGGCAGAGCGTCCAGCAAAGAATGCAGTATTTGCACGAGTGTGTCCGTCAAAGGTCCGTTTTGCAATCCGCACTGTTAATGTAATGATTCAGTTGAAAGCATGAATTGATTGAATGATTATGGAATCGAGTTATGAAGTGCAGGAGCGAGAGAGAGAGAGAGAGAGAGAGAGAGAGAGAGAGAGAGAGAGAGAGAACCTGAGGCAGTTCTCCAAAGTGTGAGTGAATCTCTAGTTGAAGCCCATTCCACTGTTAATTAACTGTCACAGGTCTGCATCAAGATTTATGTTTAGATGGCCCTCTGGAGACACGTTTACACACGCACATCACACGTGATCACGCTAGCACACGTGAGTGCATACATAAAAGAGCACATTCACATAAAAATGACATTAACTTGGATGAAGCTTATGAAAAAAGTAGCGAATATAGTACACAGTATACATAGTACATACTTGTTAATTACCTACAAACAAACTAAATGTGAGCTGTAAAGAAAGCAGTGATTGTTAATGTGGTTTTACTGAGTCTTTACCATTTTCTGTACCATCATCTTTCTACTCTGAGATGTCACATAATTATCTGATACTCAAAGATTTTCTTTTCTGCTTAAACATGTGAGATTACAGTGAATTTTACTGCATGTCTGTGCTTCAAATATTTAGGAGGTATTTTACTATGTCCATTATTAGCTTCATAGCTACAACCAGTTGGGCATTTCAGTCCAATTTAGTTAGGCTGTCTCGGAACTTGTCATCATTTTACCCAAAATAATGACCCAGTTACTCAGTTAATAGCTAGAACCTGTTTGGCATTTCAGTGTAGTTTAGATAAACTTACTGTCATGAAAATGAAATGAATTATCTAGTACTCTGGAGTACCTCACACTAACCTGGTAATTTTACTTAGATTTGTCTAGTTAAGGTTGCACTACACTTATGTCAGTTAAATGCATAAGCTGCTCACAATGTCTATATATATATATATATATATATATATATTGTATTTTAAGTGGTTTTATGTAGCCAAAGTGCCTATTTCAATTGGCAAATAGTTTAGCTTATTTCAGGAAATAATGCAGCTAGTTTTGCTAGTTTGAAGAAGTAATGAAGCTTGAAGGACAACAAATGATCTTCCAAAGGGATTTTACTGGACAAAATTACTCAAAAAAAAGCAAGAAAATGTCTGGAAATGAGGTCAATAATCTTACAAGATTCATTCAGCAAACTCCACATGAAAATATTTATATTTTGACTATATTTAAGATTATTTCACTTGGGAAGATATAATTTTTACAGTACCTAACATAAAATTAATAAAACTTAAGTACTGAAGGACTCCAAACTGAATAACTCTAGCCTTTAAACCAATATAAAATGACCACTGTGTTTCTAAATGCTATGGGTATGTACAGAAACACTGGCAACACTGTACTGTTCATAAAGCTACATGACACCTATATAAACCCTTCATGACAACTGACATAAACATTTACAAAGGTTTATTCCAATTGGCATCATTTGTCATATCACTAAGGTTGCTCTTGCCAGTTTTGATGTCAAGCTGATATAACACCTCGGTCGGGTGACACTTTTTCTCTGACATCATGTTGTGTCATAGCATGTTATGACAACTGTCGTTGACTTTGCTGACATGACATTACGTAGCATTATTACAGCATTATGCAGCCGTAACATACACTGAGCTACAATGTCTGCTGTCATAGCATGCTGTATAATTCACCCAATATGAAAGTTGACAAAAGCAGACAGCAGCATTATAAATGCTTATGTAGGTTTATGTTATTGCAATACAGAATTTAAGCAAGTGTCATGTAACCTTATGAACACTGCCCTACAGTAGTGTTCATGAAATTGAATAATTTGTAATGAAATATGCTAATAAAAGTACCTCTAATGCAGTAACAGCGCTGTAGGTCGAGTAGTTGTACATGTAATCCATTACTTCACCCTCACCTAAGCACGTAGACTCAATGCAGCAACTCTGGAAGAGAGCCAAAGACATTTCATAACAGTAGCCGAGAATGTTTTCATAACCTTTGAGTTGCAGCTCATGGATTATTGTCATTTATCCAAAACTCTTTCTAGTTGCCAATTAGCTAATGAACCACTTAACTGACATAAAAGGTCTCATCAGTGACAGATTGAATTAGTCTGGAAATTCATAAGAGCTGGTGGACGGTGTGTGGCTGTTTGTTTGTGGTGTGTGCGATTTTGTCTCCACTCTGTAGCATTTCAGGATTTACTCTGCCTTGTTCTTGAACCAACAGTGGTGGCGATTGTATCGCGGACACTCAGAACAAACAATGTTTTATGCAGGCCGAGCGGAACTAAAGATGAAACAGTAGTTAGCCGTAAGCCAGTTTCAGTTTAGAGACTAGTAACCCATCAGCTAAAAGAGGCTTTTGTGAAATGGGGATGGTGACGTCAAATCAACTCTATAAAAGCATAAAGTCTTCATTTGGGGTTACGACTTAGCATGAGGGCAACAAGTTCTCCTCCCCTTTCTTAAATATTTTCTTTGTTTTGTCGCTGGCGTTGAGAGTAACTGTTCGAGAAGCTCCTTTGCTCATTAACTCTTTTACTCGGTCAACACAAGCCGGGCTGAGTTCACTAAGGGAATATTTATTGACGTTTATGAACTGATTCTTTGCACATAACAGCATGTTGGAGATGCTCGAGTACAGTCATTACCAGGTGAGATACAACTTTGGCGACTGACCTTGCTTAAAGTGAAGAAATAAGATGGATTATTAATATGAATGAGGTTGGGAGAGTTTTATTGTGGACGTTTGCTTTTTCTAGCCTTGATTATTTACTTGATGAATGTTTTTATCCTGATGGAATTTGTCAATTTTGTTTTAGATTTTGATATACTGTGTATTGTACAAATTTTGTGTGGGTTTTTGTGTTGTAATATGTTTTATATTGCTTGTATTGTAACCGTTGCACCCAGATTTTGGATGAAAATACATAGTAATCAGTCTTGTCATGAACTGAATACATGCTAAATGTATTCGGCCAGTCATTCCACATATATGTAAATAGATACAAATATATGTAGTACTGATTTAACTTGACGGCCTTTCCAGGTACAGACTCACCTGGAAAACCCCACTAAATACCACCTCCAGCAGACCCAGAGGCACCAGGTGAAGCATTACCTGTCCAGCACACTGGGGGCCAAACTCAGCCCACAGGCCAGCAACGGGCCGTGCCCTAGCCAGCCCCCGGAGCACGGCATGCCCCCCGGCCCAGGAGTCAGTGCCCCTAACAGCCCTATGGCCTTGCTCACCCTCACCTCCAACTGCGAGAAAGAGGTACGTACACCCCGAGAGTTACAGTTATAATATTTCCAGTTATAATATATATAGAGTTTCCATCTTAAGCAATGTCTGCATGTGATTCGTATCTTTTCGCTCACACGTTCTCTCTGCTGGTGTAGATGGACGACGTAATTGAAGACATTATCAGCTTGGAGTCGAGTTATAACGATGATATCCTTGGGACTCATGGATACAGGACTTCAAATGGCAAATACGGTAATATGAATAAGGAACTCGGTGTCCGGCCACTATATTGTGTATGATGACTCCACAGAACTTGTTTCGATTGGTCTAAAGCAGAGGTGGGAAACTGAGGGCCAGAATCCAGCATAGTTTGGAGATTTCTCTGCTCTTGCACACCAACTAAACCTGGCAGTCACTTGCAGAACTGAATAAGGTGTGTTTGAGTTGGAAAATCACCAAACTGTACAGGAATCCAGCCCACAAGAACCAGAGTTCCCCACCCCTGGTCTGAAATAATGACACATTGCTTAGTTATGCCTTGGATGAACACTTAACAACATCTATTTGAATCTCTTTAGAGCTCTTGTGACCAAAACACTAGGTTAAGTAAGATAAATGAACTTTTAATCCACATGGTTGATCAATTTGAAACCTTTATAGATGATATAGATGTTATTGGGTTAATTGAATTTATTTTAGTATTTAATTCTCTATTTCACAATGTTGCCTCAGGGTAACAAAACATTTTCCTCACTTTACAATGACATGAAACATATATAATGATGTTGAAAGGGTTAATAATGAAAGGGACAAGCTTGAATAAACCAATAAAAAGCTTGTATTTGGTTGCACTGATCTACTGGTAGGCATTTTAAACCTGTTTTTGTCATTTTGCAGCTTGTGGATGATTCTAATTTACTACATCAGTGTCCCTCAAATTTTTCATTCATCCAAAAAAATAAATCACATCTGAGTGTGAAGTTACTTTTTAAACATTTCATATCATAATACTGGTAATGGTAAAAAAGTGGTAAACCTGAAAGAAAAAAAAAGTTTATATGGGTACGATTTTGCCTTATTCAGTAACTACAAGGACTTCAGTGCAAACTGGTTGAGCCATTCTTGATTATAGAAGTGTGTAATAAAACTTTGGGCCCTTTTCATTTAAGGGGGTTAGTAAGCTAATGCAACATCTGTTTTGAATAGTTAACCGATAATCCACCTAAGGGTTAAGTTAATCCTTTGTCAAGTCCATTTATTTTTATGTTTCACATTCTTTTAGATCCCTGTTTCCACAAATCTACTGGACATATACAGTAATCACACCCTTCCTCCAGCTGGGGTCACCATTGGAAACTCCTGCCAATCTAGCTTACCCAATGTGAAAAGGGAATTTTCAGGTATATCAGCTTTGTTAAAGTTTGCCTTTATTCTGCTTAGACACCCCAAACCCACCCAATAGAATTTGACAAAAATATCAAAAATCAATCAGATTAAGCAAAACAATTAACATACAGAAAATGTAATTAAACTGATTCAAGCTCAGTTAGCTCCACCCAAATCCCTCAAAAATCTCCCCAAAGAAAGATGTAGGTCATCACAGATCTATCCATATTGTGTGCAATTTTGAGTGCACAATTGCAATTATGAATAAAAACTATATTGTACCAAATAGTTACTCCAGCTCCTGGCATGATGCACGTGGACCAACCTGGACCATGTGGCAAGTTTGACTCTTATGAGAGGCCCGAAGGCCTTCCAGTAGGTATGTTCCCTCTACTTGGCCTCTCAGGCAAACTCAAATCAGAATACATAGATCACAGTTAGTCATGTGGACTGTTTTTTGTATATTTCTGGTATATTTTCAACTGTATTTGCTGTGCAGTGATAAAGATCAGAGTATTTTCACAGGATTCACCATGTGTATTTACTGTTTGTTGTTGTGAATGAATCTATAATTGAAGATAAATTGCACACAATATGGATTCTTGATTTTTAAACAACACACAGTATAACTAATCATAGAGATAAAGCAAAATGCAAGTGTGCTGAAGTTCATTAACATAATTATATTTTATGTGTAATATTGGAAAGACTTCCTTGAGAATGTGAATGATTTTATCTTGTTATCTGTTGCAGAAGCGGAGGTCAGAGCATTGGCAAAGGAGAGACAAAAGAAGGACAACCACAACCTAAGTGAGAGCAGTTGTCATACTAATGAAGTAGCCTGCTTAGAAAGGTGTTGAACTGCCTTGTAAATAAGCTTAACTCACTCACAGTTGTAAACTCTCATTACATGTTCATTATACCGCCCGGGTTTATATTATGGCAGCTGTACGTTGAATTGTGCTGTAAAAGCTTGCATATCAGAGAGGATTTGGTGAGCTTTAGGTTAGTACAGTTCATGTAGTTCATTATGGATTTTTACGGTGTAAAACAACAGATTAAGGAGCTTTTACGGTTGTAATGAATGAAGCTGTAAAAGGAGTTTAAATGTGGGCTGAAGGCCAAAAGCTGCAGTCGGTCTGTGTCTAACAAACTCTCTTTTCTCTACTGTCTTATCTCTTTTTGCAGTTGAACGAAGACGACGCTTTAACATAAATGACAGAATTAAGGAACTCGGGACATTAATTCCCAAGTCCAATGATCCGTAAGTCTCAAAATACGGTGACATCTTTTCAGTTATAGCAATGTTATGACTAGTAATAGTAAAACACATAAAAGACAAAATGTTAACAACCCCAGTCAAACTACATATGACAATTGTCTATGTAAAAATAGTTTAACACATCCTCTACAGGGAACAAACTTAAATATGGCAATTTTCTGCAGACTCTAGTGCAAAATTCCTATTTATTTGCTGAGTTTCACATGTTGGAAATAATCAAAAATAAAATATAAAATGTGCCATTACTTTTGCACAGGCCACATTTTATGTTTTACTTTCCAATGTGTTAAATTCAGAAAATAAACAGTAAATATGTATTAAAATGTGCAGAAGTGTGCTCTCTGTAGGGGTTGTGTTCACTTATTTTCACTTAGAAAATCAACAAAACATGTCATTTGACCAGGGGTGCCCAAACGTTTGCATACAACCATGCAATACAATATGCAGAAGTAAGAGACCACCCTTTCATTTCATTCATTTTTGATCAAAATGAAAATTAAGTAAAAGGCAGGAAACGTATACACTGACTGACCACTTCATTAAATACACCTCCTCATTTCTACACTCTCCTATATGGTAAGTGGAGCTGATAAAATGGACGATCAGTGTAGAAACAAACAGGCAGCTTTAATGGAGAGGCTGGTCAGTGTGTAACAGAAAACTACCTGGAAGCATCAAAAACAATATAAAATGTAAAACCTATCTGTGTTTAATTCCTCTCTTTATTTCTGTGCACATACTGCTACTTCAACTCTTCCATCCATCTGATCCTAAAACTCAGTTGCAGCTCCGTAATTCGGCTGCCCTCAAAACACAACTCACCTCGGCTGCCTTCAATTTCTCTCTCATGTACGTCTAAAATGGCTGGAGGAGACATTTCTGAGGAGATTAGATATCAGATAACAAACGAGAGGATGTGCAGCTGTCAAGAAGCAGCTACTGTGAAAAAGAAAGAAACAGAAAAAGAAGAAAACTTGCACTGGAACACTGAAACTGTACATCTGAGATGTGGAGTGAGGTTTTATTGACCGATGAGTTTAAACTTGTAGCTGGGACTATGTAGAATGTGAGAAGCAGAAAATACAACCGAGTTCTAAACTGAACTTTGGATGTGTAGAAAAATATCCCTGTAGATTTCTTTGAAAACATGAAAGTGAGTCTCCTGAAAAGAATGGAAGCTGTAATTAAGGTAAAGAGTTAGACACACTAAATACTGAAAAATGTTATTATATTTATTTAGCATATTTCATTTCATTCATCTTGAGACTTGTAATTTTCTGTTAAATATGTTTTCTGCCTTTTTGACACTGAAACATAAATAACTTCACCCCTTAAAGTCCCAGGCTTATTACATACTGAGGCTTATTATTCAGTAACTACAGGGACTTCAATGCAAACTGGCCGAGCTATTCTTATGTTATAGAAATGTATAATAAGATTTTGGCCATTTAAGGGGTTAATAGCTATTTTGACTGGAAATTAAATAACGGTAGGGTGGTCTCGGACTTTTGCACAGTACCGTATGTGTAAAATACTTATCTTCATGGATCCAGTTTAAAAATTGTGGGTGAAATAAATTTGAGTTAAACAGATTTTTCCTTTAGTGAAGTTACTGGAAACGGTGATACTGATTTTAGTATGAATGCGTCTTGTTTTGCAGGGACATGAGGTGGAATAAGGGGACCATTCTGAAGGCCTCAGTGGACTACATCAGGAAGCTGCAGAGAGAGCAGCAGAGAGCTAAAGAGCTGGAGAGCAGGCAGAAGAGACTGGAGCACGCCAACAGACACCTCCTGCTCCGCATTCAGGTACACCAACACAAATAATCACCAAAGTGCTCTCATTTTAGCTCTTATTTTTGTAAACGCTAAATCTTTTCAGCACAGTCCAACAATGTTGTAGTGTTCTTGTAAAGGGTATTCAGTAATGTGGCACCAGGAAATGTGAAAGTTACACTTCATTCATGGATTAAAGAGGAATTTCCCATCATTTTCACACATTTTAACCAAGCATGGCTGTGGTTATTCAAATATACGGATGTCCAAACGCATCTTCGAACCAGGCTTTTACAGTTTGGAACAAATTCATGATATAAAGCGTGGATTAGGTTGTAATTTGTCATGTTTTTGAATGAGATATGCAATTTAGGACTGCATAGAATATCAGGACACAAGCTGATACTCTGTCTACACTCTTAAAAATAAAGATGCCTCAAAGGGTTCTTTGAGTGATAGCATAGAAGAACCGCATTGGTTCCCTATAGAACCGTCTTTGAAAAGAGATTTGTGAGCGTAAGGCCACAGAGGGACCACTTTTGGTTCTTCTGTTTGAAAAAAAAATGTGAAAAACCTTATAAAGGCTTAAAGAAACTTTATTTAGGTTCCGTTCCAGTTTAAAAGTTCTTCCTTCAACCTTTACCTTACGTGGAAGTTCTTTAAACCTTTTAAAAAGTTTTTGATTACTGGTTAATTGTATATGTTTGATCAACTGTTTACATCATTCCGTCATATACATTGTTTTTTATGAATGCAGTTCTCTCATGAGCTGACGGTTTTTGATATTGGTGAATAGATTGGCACTACAAGACAAGGAACCAAGAGGAACGTCAAGCAGTGATTGTTTAAAATACAGACTCCTAAATGGTTCTTGGCTTGGACATACGAGTCTAGAGGAAAAAAAACTATGTGGGAAAAACTTTAGATTATGGGGAGGTTCTTTAAACTCTAAAAAGGTTCTTCACACTCACACATTTCATTTTCAAATATGTTTCTCTAAAGGACCATTTCACTAAAAGGTTCCCTTAGGGAATCAAAATATGTTCTTCTATGGAATCATACAAAGAACCATTTCTGGCACCTTTATTTTTCAGACCGTAGCTCTTCTACAGCGTTTCAGGTTGTTTTCTGAAATTCTGTGCAGTTTCTACGTCACAGATCTCAATCAAAAGTATGTATGTAAATATTTTCAAAAGCATTTTCCAAATATGTCAAAAACTGAAAAATGACAAAAAGGGAGATACGAGGGTTTTGTTCTGACAGCAGTGATATTTAGTTGAATACAAGCCATAAGATAAGTTGGCATCTACTGTGGACCAAATCTGGACGTGCATTTCTGTGTTTATCTCATCAGGAGCTGGAAATGCAGGCCCGCGCTCACGGCCTGGCTGTGGGGAGCTCCACGGCGCTCTGCTCCACCGAGCTGGTGGCCCGCGCGATCAAGCAAGAGCCCGGCCTGGGCGACTGCCCATCCGACCTGTACGCCCACACACACCTGCCCAGCCCGGACCTGACCCGCACCACCACCCTGGACCTCAATAACGGGACCATCAGCTACAACGACAGCCCTACAGAGGAGCCAGAAGGTGGGCTCTACAGCAGCCACGACAAAGCCTCCGGCAAGCTGGAGGACATGTTTATGGATAACGCTCTCTCTCCCATGGGCTCCAGCAACCCCCTGCTCTCCTCCGGGTCCCCCACGCACTCCAACAGCAGTAGCAGGCGCAGCAGCACCAGCACGGAGGAGCAGGACAAGGGCTGTTAGCACTGTGAACGAACTCAAATGAACCAAAGCTGTTATCTGTATGGTTGTTACTGTGTCGATGAACACGGCCCTTGTTACAGGATGACTGCGCCAGCTACACTGAAGTACTGTATGAAAGGAGTCTCTGATCTCCTAATGACCTGTTAGGACTGAGAACACTTTTGTTCACATTTTATATGTTCTGTTTTCAATTTCACAGCTTTCTGTTATGTGCACTGGTTTTGTTATAAATACAATTCAGTCATGATCTGATTTTTTAGTGACACTACAGGACAACAAAGCAAGAAGAACCTCAGGCGATGACTCCTCTACACTCTTTAAAAATAAATGTCCCTAAAAGGTTCTTGGCTTGGACATACAGTTCTAGGTAAACACTTTAATGGGTATTAAACCTATATATTTTTTACATGCTAAAGTTCTTCATTTACAAAAAAGTTTCTTTAAAGAACCGTCAGTTTAAAGGCTCTTTAGGGAAGCAAATGTGGTTCTTGTATGACCTTTTTGGCACCTTCTATTTTCAAAAGAGGTACTTTGTACCTTTGTCACATTGCTTATTAATAGCATACTGGGTTTAAAATCTCAATCAGAAGCAAAATTAAATAGAGTGTAGAACATTACTTCCAATAACTGCCACTAGCTACAGTACAGTTTTATGTTAGAGGGGAATTCCACCAATTTTTAAAAAAATTTGCAGTCATTCAGAGTGGTTTGATGTGAAGTGCTCTGTTCTAGAGTCAGAACTGTTCACAGTGGTGTTGACAGGAACCAGGCGTCCACCTCTAAAAGCTCCCACACAGAAAGTAATCACATGAAACATTATGAATGTTGTCTGAGGCACTGTTTTACGATACTTTTGAGAACATTTTTGCCGTAAAACTCAATTTTTTAATCCATTTGTGGTGGAGTGGTACACGCAGGGTGTTCTAAAGCAAAGTAGTCCCTAGAGAAACACTTTGTTTTTCATGATTTACCACTATTTAACCATTGTCAACATTATATACATATAAAAAGACACATGTAGGTTCACTGGTGGTTTTGGACATAAATAAAGTGGCTATATTTGTGTTGTAGACATGGTGACCCCTGGTTCCTATCACCACCACTGTAAAGAAATACTGAGTCGGTTAGTTTCTCTGCAATGAACCATTTCACATCGAACAACTGTTTACGTCTTAACAGAGAATTATGCAAAAAAAATTGGAAAAATAGGTGGAATTCCCCTTTAAGTAGGTGTAGCATGTCAAAGAAAACATGTACTGTGTTAAAGCTGCCTACAGTGCTGCACTGCCAAAGCCGCAAGACCAGTTTGATCAACTTCTGAGGATACTGTGAACAGATTCAATCAGTGAGATCAGCGATTATGAAACTGTAAACTGCAAATCTGCTGTTTTGAATAATGAACCATTTGTGGTGAGCAGTGGTTCAGTTTGATGTTCACCCTCGGCTGTCACCGGCATAACTTTGTGTAAAATAGATTAGAGACATTTGACATTCACATTAAAATGGAAAGAGCATAGCCTTTTTAAATCAGAGCACATTCATACATCACAATAGTTACTTTATGTGAAGCATGAAGCAAAGATTTGTGGTTAAAGTCTTGCAAACTTATATTAAAAATAAATAAATAAATAAATAAAGTTTAGACAGTTAAAAGGGTCCCGGAGAGCACCATTAACACAAGGAACATCATATTTAAGCATCATTACATTTTGTATTAATTATAATTTTACTTCACAATTTTGTATTAGACTTAATTTGTGCATTTAGACTAGTTAAACAACACAGTACATTTGATTTCTGAAACAGAGAGAGTGGTAATACTGTTTTTTACACTATATTTGCTCTTTCCTACGGAAAAAGTTTTTATTTCTGGTAGTTTTTACTGATAAATCTAATCCTAGATGGCCAAGTTATTATTACTGAATGATATAGATACTAAGACTAACAGTGATTATAGAATTAAGTGGTCTGGAGGAGTAATTTCACCAAGCATGTTGTCTGGAGGCGGCCCATAAATAATCAACCAGCATTTAATATGCAATTTTTACATTTCTTTTAAATGTCTGTATGTATAGTATTAGTTTTTTTTTGTTTGTTTTTTTACCAATAGTTCATGTTTTCACTCAGATATGGATACTACAGAAAGAACTAATGGCTATTCACACATAACCCCAGTACTCTGGCCTGTTGTATACCCTGACTGTTGTAAGTACAAAAGGCAATTTAAAGGCAAATATATATTTTTACTTAAATTATTACAACTAAAATCATGTAGAAAGTTTCTTTGTTTATTAAAACCCAAAATATAGCTTCCTAGTTTGCTTTGAATCTAAGTTTATGTCTAAGCCATTGAAATCTGACATGCTTGCTTATCAATCTTAGGAGCATGAATGAATAGGAGCATTATAATAAGACATTTTTTCACAGAATAATGTCATTTGTCCTCTTTTTTCAAGTTCATTACTGTTCATGTGCTTTTTGAAGCTAGATAACATAGATATGAACTGTGCACTGTTATATAGTGGATTTAAGGACCATTGAGAGACACTGAAAGAAGTGCCTTTAATTTAAGACATATTGCTGTCAAGCTCATGCAGTGGCAACTGTTTCCATTTCAGTTATTCAATGGAAATTACAGTGAGTTCACACACAGAGACGTGTTAGTTTTCATTAAAATGGTGTTTAATACAAACGTGCATGCTTATTCATATCAAAACCACTTTCTGTTCATTTTTATAACTTTTACTTCTTTAGATTAAATATTAGAATAAATGCAGTTCCAGTTTGGACCCACAACCTGTTAACACTTTTTTCAGTTTATAAAAAGTCATCATACAGTACTATGAAATCGTTCCCTTTAATGTAGCTATACACCAATAAAACAAACATGCTCAAGAGGCGTTGTGCATTGCAGACTTTCATGAAAGTGCAGCAGAACTTTGTAAAATCGGTTGTTAGCACTGCTAAAGTTTTATTGCAGCCTCATTACAGCACTGTATGCCAAAAGTGCATTAGGCTTTTGCTTCCAAAGTCTTCCATTGTTATTTGTGACACAAGCTAAAATTCCTGCCAGAAATAGTTGGCCTGAATGATTTGGTCTGTGCACTCGTGCTCCATATTCACAACCGTACGAGCGACCGTGACACACTGATGTGTCGTCTCACGTTAACAGTGGATTCATGATCTTATAAAGATCAGAAGAAAAACCTAAAAGTTTTACAGCAACTGTAAATGATGGTATTGCTAAGAATAATATATCGCTGTTGTCGGAAGAAAACCTCGTTCCTCCAAAATGCTAACTTTACTTTTAATGTAAGTCAATGGAACCAGACTTTTTTCCAAGTCATTTTGGGTCATTTCTTTTAGTCCACTCATCATGAAATTTACTTAAAATGTCAAAAATGGAGATACGAGGTTATGTTCCCACAACAGCGATAAGATATATTATTTAAAAAGGCAGAAATTGTGTGGTCACTGCTCTGACCCAGTACCCAGGTCATCACACCACTTCTCATACGCTTTGTAGAGAGTGTCGTTACAGACGTCATTAAATATTTCTGAAAAAGAACGAGAGAGAGAGAGAGTATTCATAGACAGCATATTCATTCAGCAGTAGTGTATATTAACAGTACACAACTTATTTTGCAATACAGAAATGCAATATCAGTAGCAATATTTCACAGGTTCCCAACCCTGGTCCTGGAGTTCACCCCCTGCCCTGCCTTTTTTGTTTTTTTTTCTGCTGCAACACATTCACTTATTTATTATTAACAAACAGATGAATTAACTGATTAAGTGATCTTATAACAAGAACGTCTAGGGACGATCCGGAGAAATTCTGGGCCAGAAATGTCGGCCAGCGTTGAGTGGTGGTACTCCTGTGCTGCTTGTTCAATAAAAGAGCATTTACCTTTAAAACACAATCTTTCCTGCATCTTATTCTATGCCAACTCCACAATATCATTCTCCATTAAAAGAGCTGGCCGTGCTACAGGGGTCATACCCATGAGTACAGCAGATTTCAGTGCAGTTCAGCAACAAAACTTTAATAAGTTGTCCCCAGACGTGTATTCTCAATACAAGATCACGTCTGGCCAAGCAAGATCAGGGTTACACCAGGACCAGGGCTGAGAACCTGCAGTGAAAATCGGTTAATAAGCAAGTAATCATAATTCATTATAAAGTTGTATGCAAAAGTCTGAACACCCCCAGTCAAATCATGTGTTCTGTTGATTTTCTAAGTTCAAACTGTACATTAAAATGTGCAGAAGTGTGTAGAGGGTGTGAACTCATTTTCACTAAGCAAATAAACGAAACTTTGACCAGGGGCACCCTAACATTTGCATTCAACTATATTCGTTGAAAATAAGCCCACAGTAAGCCTATAATACAGAATTTTGGATAATTATGTGAGTTTAACATGTACCTGCTCTTCCAAGGCCGATGGGTAAAGGCATCCTCATCAGGCCTCCAGAGTGCTGCAGCCTGTCATTCAGAGCTTTCTGGACCAGAGCAAAGCTGAAGTCCTGATGCCACACCGGCAGCTCCAGCCTGAGCATGCAGCGGATGATTCTGAGCTTCTCCACGTCTGTCAGGAACCCACTTTCACAGGCCACATACACCATGTAGGCCATGTCGATATTCACTGCCTCACCATGGAGCAGGCATGGCAGAACCTTCTAGAAAGAGAAAAACAACCAGAGGGTTACCATCACGCTGGAAATATGTGCTTGGGAAAACTTTAAGCAAGTATGAAAAGCCAGCTGCAGAATCTGAAGGCAGTTCTCTTGTTTTATGGTTTGACACTTTACTGACTCACAGCCAAAGCTTTGAGGCAAATTAAACAGGTTATCACACTTGTTTACAAGAAACAATAACCCACAACGTTCTGAGAAATTAATGTCTTTTCCAGAGAAACTGGGCAATATTTCAGTTTTATTGTGGCTAGACCCATATGGCAATGAAGAAGGTGAATCTGTGCAAGAAAAGTTACCATTTCCAGCTCAGGACCGATCAAATGACCAAAATCAACCAGCCTATCAAGGTCGTCCTCCCACAAGTTTGGGGCCAGCTCTTCTAGCATTGTTTCTATAGCGAGCCGTGTGGACACTGAGGCGGGGTCAGAGCGGTTGCCATGTAGTCCAGAGGTCGACTGGAACTTGGAGTCTAGCAAAAACCTTCCCTTGGTCTCCAAAAGCTCAAACAAGCCTTTGTGCTTCATGAGTGCCATCTAGAGGATGAACAATGCAAGGACTGTTACAACAGCATGGTGAGCATGGTGTGAATGAGGGAACAAATGTTCTCCAACATACCTTGAGCATTTCTGCAAGTCCGTTGGATATGTGTCGGCGGGGCACAGTTTGGATGAAAGCTCTGTCCAGGAATGCCGCAACAGGAGCGATGTAGGTACCCAGCTTATTCTTGCAGTTTGCAAAATTCACGCCAGTCTTTGCTCCAACACTGGCGTCAATGTAGGACAGCAGGGTGGTGGGGACACGAATGTAGGGGGTACGTCTTCTATAGAGGGAGGCAGCCAGACCAACAATGTCCAAACAAACACCACCCCCAATGGCAATGATGGGCTCAGTGCGTCTGTCGATGCCAAACCTGTGGACCTCTTCCAGGATTTTCAGCACCATGTCCATGGATTTGTTCTCCTCCGTGGTAGGCAGCGGCAGGATTCTGTAGAGGACGTTTCTGGCCCCCAGGTAGTCAGTGACCTGAGAGCCATAAAGGTTGTACACCGTCTCGTCCATTACTACGAATCGCTTTAAAGGCTTGGTGCTGGAGCGGAAGGCCTCGAGCTGCTTGGGATCTCTGATGTGGCCCATCAGGAGTGTGTCATTGCTGGGGTTCAGGAGATCATGTGTTTGGGTGACAGTGTAGGTGAAGGTGATGGGACTCACCACTGTCCATGAAATGCCATGGGAGGAAGTGCTTTCACAGCTACAACATTCAGACGAAAACAAGACATATAGTCACAGTAAGTCATATACTGCTTCTAGCTTGTATCATCTCCATAGAAAAGCACTGCCAATTGAATGGGGCACTCTAGAACAGCATCATGGGCCTAAGGTCACCATGCCCAATGTAAAAAGTCAGCTAGAGGGGTGGAGCTTCATCTTATATCTTTGGAATGAGTATGATCCTAACTATCCAGAGGAAACTAACCATCCAACATCAGAATCTGACCTCACAGCAATGTTCAACATCTAATATAAAGCCTTCCCAGAAGAGTAGGGGCTGTTACTGCAATAAAAAGGGAACAAATTCCCTATTAATACCCTTGATTTTGGAAGAAACTCTGGATGAGCAGGTGTCTACAAACTTTTGGACATATGTAAGTAAGAAGTGACTGAAATTTAGTCCAGAATTTGGCTTTATCCAGCACTATATGTGATGGCTGCTCACATGAACCTATAGCAAGCTACTTGAAACATTTTTGGGGTCTACAAGTGATGCCTCATCCTGGTGTTGTTAGATATAGCAACACTAAGATGGGAATCCACTTGTGGTCTCCTATAATGTCCCTGTGAATTGACAACCCCCCCCAAAAAACTGAATAGAAATATTCCAGAAAATGGTAAAAATCTTAAAAGCAACATGCTAAAGAGAAATTTTTACTGATTTTTAAAAATTTCATTTGATTTAGTCACTCAGATGGGGACTAAAGCAAGAGTTTAATGCCTCTAAAAGCTCCTTCACAGAAAGTTGTTAGATACATGATTATGAATACACAGCCTGAAGCCTGAGACACTGTTGCCATACTCACATCTTTGCGGCTGAGACTCGTCCCTTATGGCCATGGCGTGAGGCCTTTTGGCGTTTCCACGTCCCTTTGACTTGGACCAGGCTGAACTCTGTGTCTTTGGTGATGTTCTGCTCCTCATCCATGTTCTGCTGCACCTCCTCCATTCACTCCATGTTTCCACCGCAAATATATACAAACGGCAACAACGAGGGTGGAGCTTACGCAAGACTAGCCTACTTATGAAAGCATGATTTCTTTTTTTTTTCTCTTCCAAGCAGATTCTCGTTCACACATTGTCACCTTACACAACTTTACAAGATGGTCACGTAAGAGGGCCGTGCCCTACAGCTATGTTATAAAACTCTGAATGGACGTTACATAGCCTGTTATGTTAAGTCGATACTTTAATTTGAGAAAAGCTTCCTGACAAAAACAAAAGACTGTACCTGTCAAAAAAAGACAGATTCCAGCAAAAAAAGCCCTGAGGAAAATACCACTGTGGTTTCCCAGGCTCATCTAACACCCAACACAACCCAAATTCTTCATTAAAAGTTAAGAAAAAATATAAAAAAGCTTAAATATGACACACAGCCTAGGCCAACTTCCCAGTAACTGCCCAGTGAATTTTACATGTTGTGAAGAAAAGTAAAACATTAAAAGTGTCCTGTGCAAAAACATTTTATATTTTATGTTTTATGCTTTTTTTAACTTTAAATGAATTTTTAAGTGGAGGATATGTTAACTTACTTCGCTTGGAAATTCAACAAAACCAGAGGCACTGTACCAAACAGTTGATCAAAAGTGGAGGATAGCAGATAAAACCTCTAAAATGTCCAGGAGCAGGACTGGAGAAGCACTGGTCCAATCCTTTAGCATTACGTGTAACACAATCCACTGCAAAATCACTCAAAGTCTTTTCAGGCATATTGATGTGACAGGGTTCAGAGGGTGGAAGCATCCACCATGAGGTTCACACGGTTCATTAGCTTAAAACAGGTCGCTACATGCGTCTATAGAGACTAGCTTACTTTGTAAAATGTTATGAATAAAACAGCAGTATTGTATGCTATCACATAACATCACATCTAGTATTTCACTAAACACTATTTATTAAATGATTCATGGTATTTATAACAGTTTTAAACTTGTACATAACATATACACTACAGAAGCTTCACTAATATTCAGTTTCAGCGCTAACATTTTAGGCATCTGCAAAAATGACATGTAAAAAGCTACTTAACTGGACAATAAGTGTTATTTGTCCAGAAGAAATATGCAATAAATAACATTAATACAGTAAGTAGTAGAGATATGAAGGTCAATGTGTTTGCTTAACCATTTTCAAACCTCTCCCCACAGCAGCCCAGCATTATTTGTGGTTTTCTTCGAATACCTAGTTTAATCCTTCAGTAAATTAAAGCCTGTATTCACAAGGCTTCCCAGAATAAGAGTGCTGATCTGGGATCAGATTCCTCTCTTATTCACTACGCCTTTAATGACAGGAACAGGTCCCAAATCAGCACTCCTACTCTAGAAGCAGTTGCTGAATTGAACAAATCCGTGAAATGGCTGGAGGGCACCGACAAGTCAGAAACCAAACCTGTGTTCTTCATACCAGCTCACGAGATCTCAAGCAGTTTTCTGAAAACAAGAAATTCTTGTTGGCTGTTACCACGTTTGTATTTGATTGCACATATTCCAAGGTTACATGGTGTTTTATAAGCAAGAACACACTTACTGTGCGGATAAATGGTTTTAAAGAGTTTGTTTAGGAGCACAAAGACTGTTGTACAGTAAGGTATATATTAGAAATAACAGCATAAGTGTCTTGGTAAGGTGTTGGACCACAGTGAGCTACAAGAACAGCTTCAGTTCTATTCTATACAACATATAAGTCGCTGAAACTGTATTTGGAACACCGCTGTTCCGAAAGATATTCCCTCAGTTGGTGTTCTGAAGATGGTAGCAGAGAGTGCTGTCTAACATGTCGGTCCAAAGCCTCCCATAAGTATTAAATGGGGTTGAGAAATGATATTGACTTATATATAAAATACAATACAATTATAATTAGTACACACTTAATATACTTTTCTTAATATTATGAAGATTATCAGTAAAGTGGGTTTTGTCCTTTATCTGTCATTGTCATTTTGGAGATACAAGGTTCTTATTTATATATATGTATACATGCGCACACACACACACACACACACACACACATACACACACACACACATACATATATATATATATATATATATGACAATTGTGGTAACACTTTCTATGAATGTCACCTTTGTAAGCATCTATAAACACATTTATAACATGTTATAATGTATTCATAAGGCATTGTAAACATGGTTATAAATATTTATAAAAAATAAATTACATAATTAATTTATAAAAAAGAATTACACTGAATTACACTTTATAGCCATGTTTATTATACATTATGAAGTGTTAATATAATGCATTATGAATAGTGTTAATAACATGTTATAATGTCAGTGCAAATGAAGTCAGTCCCAGCTTAGAGAGCGTAAAGTAAAGACAAATACCAAGCTAACGGTGGTGTACATTGACTTTCCCACATTGGGTAAAACACTGATGGCAGCACTAGTTTAAACTCTGACATTTGAAGCCTGTAATGTGTTTTATTGTGTATGTTTTAGTGTTTCAGTAAATCCTTCAGTAAATACTTCAACTTGTAGCCTCACTCTCAACACTGGAGCTGGCTTTAGTACAGTACGCTTCACTTTACTTAGAGCGGACAAATACGACTTATGAGCTCTTATAATTTGTTATGATCAATACTTATAATGTATTATGTTAACAATTCATAATTCATAATAAACATGGCTATAACATATAGTGCATTTTTTATATATATATTTATATATTTATAGGTATGTTTATAATGTCTCATGAATGCATTATAACATGTTATGAATGTGTTTATAGATGCTTACAAAGGTGACATTCGTAGAAAGTGTTACCACAATTGTATGCAAAAGTTTAAACACCCCTGGTCAAATTATATGTATTGCCGATTTTCTAAGTGAACGTAAATAAACACATCCTCTACAGTGCCCTTAAATATGGCAAGTTTTAGTGCACAATTTCTATTTATTTGCTATTTTCTATCTATTTATTGAGTTTAACATAGTGGAAATAAAATCAACATAAAATAACTTTGCACAGGCCAAAATACGTTAAATTCAGCAAATAAACGGCAATTGTGCATGTGTTCTCTGTAGAGGATGTGTTAATTCTTTTACACTTAACAAAATAGGTTATTTAATCAAGGGAGCCCCAAATCTGTGCATACAACTGCTATATGTTATATACAAAGTTAATGTAAAACTACCAAACAGCCTATATCAGAAGGTTATATATACATAACAGTTATGTATTTCCAGTTATACAGTTCACATAACATCGTTGCACAGGTTAGAAAGCCACTCCTCGGATACATGAGATTCCAAAAGACTTGACTACAAAACTGCCTCGAGCTCCCTCGAGTAAGACCGCGTGTGACGCGCTTTGCGTAACGCAGACGCGCAGCAGGTCGCAAGAAACTGGAGCGGCAGCGGAGCTCGATTCAGCGAACTTCTCCACAGTCAGTCCGGCGGCCGAGCGCTCTCAGAGGGACCCCATGCAGGCGGATAAAGGTAGGGCTCGGCACTTTTCCAGTTTAACACGCGCTGCTGATGAAGTGACCCCCGGCTGACTTTGCGTTCGTGTCCATGAGCCACGTGTACTGCAGCGTCCAGCACTCCTGCAGGGCTTTATTTAGCGCTCACACAAGGCTGAGCCTGGCTTCCTCTACGCGCCGGGTTCTTTTACAATTTTCCGTTCCACCTTAAATGGTGCGGCACTTACGGTTTACTCCACAGGCGCCAGAATGCAACCGCGGCAGCATTTAAGGTGGAACGGAAAATTCGAACAGAAGCCAACTTCAGCTTCTTACACTGTTAAGAAGATGGTGCTTAAAGGGTTCTTTAGTAAGGAAAATGGTTCTATATAGAACCATGAACACTCAAAGAACCCTTTGCATGGTTAAAGGGTTCTTTGCATCATGAAAGGGTTCTTCAGATTGATGGAAAATGTACATGAATGTGCTATAGACAGTTCTGTACAGAACCTTTTGGGGGTTCTTATATAGCACCCAAAAGGGTTCTTCTACTGTTACAAGCTTGACACTGTAACAATAGAAGTACCCTTTTGGGTGCTATATATAGAACCATTTTCAAAAAGGTTCTATATAGAACCATGAACACTCCAAGAACCCTTCGCATGATCAAAAGATTCTTTGCATCAGGAAAGGGTTCTTCAGATTGATGGAAGTTTTGCATGAATGTGCTATAGACGGAGTTTTTATATAGCACTCAAAAGGGTTCTCCTATTGACATAGTAACAATAGAAGTACCCTTTTGGGTGCTGTATAGAACCATTTTCAAAAAGGTTCTATACAGAACCATCTGCAGCACATTCTCCATCAGTCTGAAGAACCCTTTCACAATGCAAATGAGTTTTCACGGTTATTTCCTTTACTAAAGAACCCTTAAAGCACCATCTTTTTTAAGAGAGTGAACAGCATGCACGTGACTGGCTCCATACACTAACAGATCTGTTAGATGGTGCTGCACATATATCTATCTGTCTATCTATCTATATATATATATATATTCCACAAGTTTTCGAGTTTTCCACAAACACCAATAACCTTTGTGCATGTTAGGTATGAGTCCAGATTGGTGCATAATCTCAGCAGATTACATACACTCTTAAAAAAGATGGTTCTGCAAGGGTTCTTTAGTGAAGAAAGTGTTTCTATACAGAACCATGAACACCTAAAGAACACTTTGCATTATGAAAGGATTCTGCAGAATGATGGAAAATGTGCTGTAGATAGTTCTATATAGAACCTTTTTGATAGGGATTCTATATAGCACCAAAAGGGGTTCTTCTATTGTTATGTAGTCAAGATTGACACAATAGAAGAACACTTTTTTGTGCTATAAGGAACCCTTTTCAAAAAGGTTCTATATTGAACAATCCACAGCATTTTCTCCATCAATCTGAAGAACTCTTTCATGATGCAAAGAACCCTTTTAACATGCAAAGTGTTCTTTGAGAGTTCATGGTTCTGTATAGAACCATTTCTTTACTAAAGAGCCATTGAAAATGATGGAAGTAACATTTAAAGTGTGTATAGTGGCAAC